CATAGAATATAGTTCTATGAGAAAGCACCCCTAAGATCTGACTTCTATGTCAGTCCTTTTCCTCCTCACTGTGCAGTACTATCTACATCCTCTATTGATGAGGTTTAACCACATCAGAGCACAATTCTTCTCTTTCCTCTTTTTCTATCAGCATATTCAGTGTAAAAGAACTTAAAATGTTGGGGCTGGGAAGGTGGCTCAGTGGTAGAGTGCTTGCCTTGCATGCATGAAGCCCTGGGTTCGATTCCTCAGCACTACATAAGCAAAAAGAAAAAAGCCAGAAGTGGCGCTGTGGCTTAAGTGGTAGAGTGCTAACCTTGAGCTGAAGAGCTGAGGGACAGTGCCCAGGCCCAGAGTTCAGGCCCACAACTGGATTAAAAAAAAAAAAAGAAAAGAACCTAAAATGTCAAGAAGATGGTGTTAGCTATTAAATCAGATTGTGTGCAGCTGGTGTCAATATTTTTCTTTTGGGAAATTCTGAGAATTGAAGTTTGGAGTTACACAGACACACTGAGAAGTAAGGTCCTGAGCGCAAATCCCAGTACCACAACAAAACAAAACAAAAGAAAGCTTCTGAAAAAGTTGGTTTTTGTTCCCCTTTCCTAATATGTCTAGGGAATATGAGAAGAGCTTTCCGCCCTCTTCTTTTTTGGGGACTATAGTCATGTAAATGATATGAGATGTAGTGACCATCTGGCTATCAAGAGGGCCCTAGTGAGCAGAGGAAAGATCCTTCATGGGATCACTGTACCACATTGAGACATCCCCCTGCGGACTCAGGAAGCAAACAAACTTATATAATTTAACTCACTATATAATCTAACTCACTGTGTTCTCTGTTCTTTGAAGTTATTGTGTAGGCAAAAGGAGATAATTAACAAATTAACAACAAGCACAATTCAGAACATGAAAAAGTATCTCAGTGAAGACTCAATTCAACGTTCAGGGTTTTTTTTTCTCTTTCTTAAAATAAATACTATTAGATTATGGAAAAGATTACAAGTAACTATAGTTCCATACATGTTCATAATAGAGAAGATTATAGAAAAACAGCAATTATACATCAACATACCCATAAGAGAGATTATGTCAGATAGCTATAAACAATAGCCTATTTAACTATTTTAATATACTTATTTACACATCATAGGATTAAAGATAATCTATACTACTCAAAAACATAAAAGTGTATTCCCTGGAATGTTCCTTTACTACCACCACCAACAAATGAAACTATTAAAGCAAATGCCCTTGGAATATACTGCATACTGCATTTACCTGTTGAATATTTTATGGATATCAATGTAATAAAAAGAAATGTTTTCAAAAGAAATGCTATGAATAAGCAAACTAATTATAAACCTATTTTGTACAAATTTATTAGGCTTCAGAATTTATTTCTTATTATGTATTCCCAAAGCATACATTTAAGACAGTTTATCTGTATGTTTTGGTAATGTCAGTACTGTTACTGAGTTATGAAGAAATGGGAAGGACCACTTTGTTGTTGTATAAGTAAGCAAAAAGTCAGTAAAATTCAGTGTCAGTAAAAATTGTGTATAAACTCCTGAAATATTTTCTATAATAAAGAAGTCTTATATTTTTCCTGTTTGTACTTTAGCTGGTCCACCAACAAAAATAATACATATGTTATCTTTAAGATAAATTATATATTCATTTCCATCAACAACTTATAGGTGAGTTAAAATTAGAATATTTTTCATAATAGGTTATATCTGAGGTCAACCTAGTGAAATACATGTAATTGTATCATATCAGTCTTTGTGTATGAATATAGGAAAAATGTGCTTGCATAAAAAAAACTTTTCTAATAACCTCAGTGGGGTTATTTTCAAAAGCTATTTAAATGAAAAAGAGCCTATAATGTATTAAAGTTAAACCATGTTTACTTCAAGTTTTCAGATGCTAACAAAAAATTGTTCAAGAAAATGGAGCAAAAGTAATATAGTTCACTGGTTATAAGTACAATTACTTTGTTATAATGCTGCCAGGGGAGTCAAGTTGATACACACGACTGGTACATGCAGGGGAAATACAACTTAATGTAAACAGACAAGTCTCAGCACATTCCTTTGCTAGAATGTGGCCATCTGCCACAAAATACACAAGCTCATGCACAAGGTCAAGACGTTACATACAGCGGAGATCACAACATCATGCATATCACAACAGCGTGCTAGAGAAGCCTACCACAGATTGTGCAGATGTTCAACCCCACCCCATGAGCCACCGCCAGCAGTTGCTGTGGAGTTTGGTTACCCATATCCGTGACACGAACGGTGTCCTTTGGAGAATCTTGTTCCCTGTGGCTGTAAGTATTCTTATTTTTATAATATTCTAATGATGCTTGCTATGAAACTGTTAAGTATAAACTAGAAATTACAGAAATGTAGACTTCATGTTACTGAACAATTATACACATCTTATCTCAGGCACCTGTAATAAATAGCACTTGCATTTGATCGTAATACCTTAAGTACTTAAATGAACTGTCTGATGGCAATACCCAGGGAGTGGGTAATAAATAAATAATCAAACTTCAAATAGTTACTTTGATTTCTAACACTCAGAACTGTGGCAAGTCATTCTAAGGACCTGGCTAACACTTAGCTAATAAGTTCTATTTAAGAATATATTTTTGGGTAAGTCTTTCATGAACATGATTTCAGTTTTGAAGACCTGCTTGACAAACAATCAACCAAGTTGATATTATTTGTCTCAGTAGTGAAAGTACAAAATATAATCATTAAAAACCCTCCTCCCACTTTTTGAGCATGCTAAGTGTATTTCATTATCCTTTTTTCCTATCTTTGTCCTAAATGTACTCTGGTAAAGATAAAATTCTTTGTTATTAGCCAATACCTGCTAAATTACTGGTATTCATAAAAAAATAGAATTAGAATTCTGGAACCACAAACATTTTGAGAGGCTCAGTTTTGTGATTCTTGGCAGAACTAATTGGCCCTATAGGAAAGGTAAATTCAGTATCTTGGGAATGCTTCAGTATATTTTTATTGAGGCCAGGTAAGGAAGAAAAAGAAACTACAGTCAACTCTCAATAACAATGGAAGATAGGATGGAGAATTAAGATCTGATGATCATAAAAATGATCTAAAAATCTTATTTTAAATTACATATATTTATAATAATTTCAATTCCCTTCCTTATCAAATATTTGAATTAAAATTTCAAAAATTCTTGACAGATTAAAAAAGAATTAGAATTTTAGCTCTTTTCCCTGGCTCCCCTTAAGCTTTAGACAAGATGCTAATAAGAATATTATAGTTTGATATATGGACCTGTAAAAACAGAAACATACTTTGCCTCTAGTCTTTCCAATTTAGATTTTAAAACTATCCATATTCTACTATTTTAAGCTTACTTTTAATCTTTGCACAAAAGGATGGCTTTATCTGCTTTAAAAATTGTAACTCTTTTATCATGAAATAATTACTTATTTCAATATCAGCAATTATATCCACTTTTTCTGACTTTGAAATACAGCCTACAACTTGGTATTTACCAAGTTACATTTCCTTACAAGTAACATTTGCAAGTTATACAAATTAAGGATATCAGTATTATTCAGTATCAGCATCATTTATGATAGAAGTGAGTTTGGGACTTTGGCCAGTTGCCTCTCCTGATTCTTATCTACTCTAGAGTAAAGCCCTACACTATTCTTAGATTTTCTCCATTAGCCATCATTCAACTGTCAGAAGAATTTGAAGTAGAATGTTTTTCTTATTATAAAGTTTATTACTTGAACAAATAGTAATGTCTAATTCTAATAAAGAAATAAAAACAATACCATTACAGCAGAATCTCAGCAGGTAACTATAGCAGGTATATGACAACACAAGATCAAAAAGGTGATGTACTTATACTGCTATATGTTTACAAGGAAGGTAACAGAGATCTATCTAATCTACATTTGTAAGTATAAGACTCAAATGGTAAGATATGTGCATAACTGTAAACTTTTGCAATGGTACTTTATTTGGTTTTTATATGTATTCAAGAAAAAATTAGTAAAGAAAAATACATGTACTAAACGAATATAAATTTATTTAAAAGTTAACATCATCGCTGGTATTTTATATATCTATAAAATCAGTATTTCCATTTAAGATATTTTACACTGAAGAAATATTTGCTTAGTTATAACAAAAGTGAAGATTATTTTAGGAAATATTTGGCTGCATGATTTAAACAAATAGTCCTAACACTTTCACTACAAATGACTAAGTTGGTTTTTAAAAATTAATAAACTAATTCTTTCAGTTAAGTTCTTTCAGAAATAATGCATCCAAAAGTAATAGCCCTAAGAGCTATATAATTTCCACTTGGGATTCAAGGATTAAGTCTAGAAGATATTTAAACATTTCTGAAAGTATGACCTTTTCAAAAATACTTACAAATAATAAGAAAGGTCAGGGGAATTTTTATTTACATTTGATCATTTTTACATATTAAGAATTAAATAATTAACACAAAATTAGTTAATTTTATACAAGTAGTTTTTGTCAGCATGGAATTTTATGAAACTATTTTTTAAAGGTATCATTTGATGATTAAAATTCAGATGTCAGAAATCAGAATGGTGTTCTGTATGATTACCTGCTAAAACTATATCGCTAGTAAATGGAAACAATGGAAATGGAAAAACATGCTGTAGATAAATGTGATGAACATATTCTATAGGGATATCAAAATTTTATTCTCACTGCGAATTTGTATTTCAGTAAGACCAGTATAAGACAGTCATATATAAGTGAGCAGGTAGAATGATAGGAAAGTGACATGGAAAGGCAAAGAAAAATGGCTATGTTCTAACACAACAAGATACTGGGTTTCTCAGTGACTTAAAGGTAGGTTCAATGACTTGGTATTTTACCTGTCAGTTTTTGGTATTACAAAGTTGCAGCAAGCTTATAATAAAATTCATTTGATGCAAATTAGATAAATTCTTCACTTACTTCATCTGGGTTGGCATTAAAGGTAAGGCTGCCTTCATCCAGCTGCATATACAGTTTTCTAAAAGAAAATCCTAGGGGTGGGTTTTTATTGTATATGGAACAGTGACCCCATGTGGACTTGCACAACCTGTACAAATTAAAAGAAAATGAGACCAAAAGTTAATGTATTTAATTTCTGAAGTGATCATTAGGTGGCAGGCACTATTTTGCATATTTTAATGATATTAAATTGCTCAATTCCATCCTTTGATGCAGACACAACATATAAAAAGCAGAGACAAAAAAGTTGTCCAAAGTCACATAGCTTCATATGAGCAGCAGGCTTTGAATCCAATGAGTTTGACTCTATAGCATCAAAAGCTGTGATGCTAACATGTTTAAAGATACTGTTTTACAAGTCGTTTAAAGATACAGGTGGACCCGATGCAACTATAAGTACAAGTTGTCATGTCAAAAACGAACTTTACAACTTTGGTGTGGGGGGTAGGGGTGGGGGCGGGTGGGTTGGGAGGGGGGGAGGCTGGGAAGGGATGTGAAGGGTAAACAAAGGAGGAGGCTTCAATGCTTGATAAGAAATGTACTCATTATCTTGCCCATGTAATTGTAATCCTTCTGTACAGTATGTTCACAAACAAACACACAAAAAAAGATACTGTTTTAAAAACACTGTTTCTTGAGTTGGGAATGTAACTAGAGACAGAGTACTTGCTTAGCATGTACCAAGTGCTGGGTTCGATTCCCAGAACAACAAAAACAAAATAAAACAAAAACCAAACAAAGAACATTGGTTCTTTATTACAATGATTCATGACTGTATAAAAATTCTATGAAACCTGTGAAATGGATGTTATAGTTGGCCTAAATACTTGCATTTTTTTAACCAACTGAATGCAATTACTGTTTGAAACTATAAGTATAATAAATTGTTTTAGGAAATTATTTATATTTTGCTAGTCTTTATCAATGTAGCTTGTAAGTTTTATTATTAAACTGTATAAGCAACAGAATCTCCTGACATTTTCAAATGTTCTACACAGTTGAAGTTAAAATAAAAACTGAGCCAGTCTTTACTTTCAAACAGAAGCAATTTATCATTAAGTAAAAGAAAACCCAGGCCAGGTGTGGTAGTACACACGTGTAAATCCTAGCATTTGGAAGGCAGAAGGATAGAGAGTTAGAGCAAGTGTGGAAAAAGAAGAAAAAGAGAATCTAGGGTTATAGCCAAAATTATATGGCAAAAAGTAAAGGAAACATTTCTTATATACCACAGAAGTTACTGAAATAGGGTTTACCAGCCCAGGCTGGTTTGGAACTCACATTTCTTCTCCTAGGGCTTTCCCTGGGATTATAGGTATGGGCTACCACACCCAGAAATCTTCTGATAAACAATGTTGATTTAAGCCCAAATGAAAAATTCATTCTGACTGGGCTTACCTAAGCTTAAAAATAAACTTTTAAAAATTCAAATACAGGAATATAAGTGAAGTTTCTGGGAGTATAAAATGTAGAAAAAAAGACTTAAGAATTGGAAAGTTTTAAAGTACTTAATTTCTTCTTTTGCTCATAGAACACTTTAAACATGATTTTAAACATGACTAATAGAATTTCCTCTCACAAAGTGCCTTTGCTATGACAAATCAGTGAGAAAATTATGAGATGAAACTAGTGACTTTGGTGTATTTATTGACTGAGAAATGTATGATTTTTATATTACTATGATATCAGAAAACCAAAGTTAGAAATATCAGTACTAACAAATACACTTTCATTACAGTTTGGCAATGTAGGTTTACTTCTTAATTCTCTCACTTTGATTTACAGTTGGAAATGAGTTCAAGTCTCAGGGGTACTGTGTCAGCCTAGCAAACACCCTCAATTCTACCCTAGTTCTGCCAATTTTTTTTTAAAGACATGTTTCTAAATATGCTATTTATCGAAGACTTAAACAAACTTCAATAAAGAATGCCACAAAAGGCCGGGCGCTGGTGGCTCCCGCCTGTACTCCTAGCTACTCAGGAGGCTGAGATCTGAGGATCACAGTTCAAAGCCAGCCCGGGCAGGGAGACCGTGAGACTCCTATCTCCAATAAACCACCAGAAAACCGGAAGTGGCACTATAGCTCAAGTGGTAGAGTGCTCGCCTTGAGCTGAAGAGCTGAGGGACAGTGCCCAGGCCCAGAGTTCAAGCCCCACGGCCGACAAAAAAAAAAAAAAAAGAATGCCACAAAACCTGAGATTCAAATTCTTCTATGTTTGGTAACAATTTTAAGACTTAAAAGAAAAAAATGTACACATAATCTTTTTGTGTGATGCTATTTCAGGAGTAGCTAAGATTAATATAACAGATTCTATAATACTAGCATTCTTAGACAGCAATTGCTAAAACTTCTATAATCTATTTTAAGCAAGTGAATTTACCCATCTACTTTCTAATATTTGCTTACTTTGCAAAATGGTGCTTAGAAAAACACATAAAACTTATGCCAGGAAGTAACTGTGACAAATAGAAATATATAGGTAAACACATATATACTTCTGTTTGAAAGCAATAAAAACAACAGCATTTGAGAATTATTTATTTCTTTGATAGAATTCCTATGGAAAGCCTGAACTACTGCAGGGATGTGAGACTCTTCACTTCTAATTATACATTTTAACTTTAGAATCTTGTGTATTTTTGAAATGCACTGGTGATCTCTCACTTAGGGTAACTGACACATGTACATCACTGCAGAGTGATCCTCTTCCCACCAGAAAGCCGAGGTTGCCCTGTTGCCTTCCTCTTCCTAATATCAAAACTGACTGATGACAACAATATCTTCATTTTCCCAGGATTTAATAGAGCAAAGTCGAAGTTAAAAGAAGGTATCTTGTAATATATACATGTTATGAAAGAACATTAAGCATGACTATGACCCAAGATCCGCATCAAATATTGGTAGGTTTAACTTACCCTTGCCAGAGAAGTTCATCATTAGCAAGGTCTTGCCAAACACATGATGCCAAACAGAGGTCAGTTGCATTCAGGTAGGATAAGATGGTGAAGCTCAGCTCTGGGGGCAGCATTTCCAAATTAATGAATCCTTCCTGTTCTTTAGATTTCCTTGCTTTCAAAAGATGATATATATCAATGCCTCCTTGGACTTGTTTCCGGTGGTTGGTACCAGCAATGCTGCTTGGCGCCATTCTCCTGCTCTGCTCTCTGGTGAGGTAGCCTTGCTCACTATAGCCTTCCTGCTGGAGCTGCTGGTTTCTGGCCACTCTCCACAGCCCTTGACCCATCTGCAAGCCTGCCAGAGTGTAAATAAGGATGACATTCAAAAAGTAAACCACGTTTCCCAGTGGCATAACAAATCTGACATGAAGCATTAATTTATCAGTGTTAAAATTCTTCATTAAAGCCCAATAAAAGCAGTAGCATATTACAAAGAATAGGTGGAACATTTTAAGTGACAAGTTTGGATAGAGAGTTTCAGGAATGTTTGGTCTGATCATCACTTTCATCCAAGCTTGCTAAGTAGTTTTAAAGACCACAGGTGAGAAAATAATTTTTCATGTAGTAAGGTTTAAAAGTTACTGAAGTCCTGAAGACTCTTACAAATTATAATTATGTGAACGTATGGGCCAGTATTAAATGCAGCTCTGATCAGAACACAGGACTTTAGTTAAAAGGCCTCCAGACACTGCTTTTTATCACAATTCAGGCTAAGCTAAGCTAGCCCCTTTTAACCAAACTCCCAGATGCATAACAGCTGTGAAACAGACTTGTAGTTTATGCTTGCCAGTCTACACTTATGTTGTAGACTGTAATAAAATGTAACATAGGCCCTGAAGTCTAATTCCAAAACCTTATAAATTAGACACCTAGAACTCCAGGATGAATAGCTCAGCAATAACTGACAATTTATTTGGTTCTGCTGTTGTGTTAAAGGAAAAATCATCATAATTTAGATTAATTTTCTAGTTCTTCTCTTTATAACCCCGTGGATTCCTGAGGTACTTGGAAAAGGCACAAGAAGTTGTAGTCCAATCTCTGCCTACAACCAGGGCAATACTGGTTCTGTTACATGTATTACATTTCCCTATATACAGATACTTAAAAAACATCTATTTTGGACTTCAAAACAAGACAACTAAGACAAAAAGAAAATAAATTTAAAAAAGAAAGCACCTAGAAAGATAAAACACAGAAATCCAAGATAAACCTGTAACCAGAAACTGCCTATTCCTAGGAATAACTTAGAACTTAAAAGAATGTTGAAGATACCCATCTCTGTACTTAAAAAGAAGTGACCCACATGATGGACACTAAGTAAGTGTTTAGCTCACGTCTGGACAATGGCTATTATATTAGATTACTTATTGATGAAAGCAGAAAAAAACTGCAGGACAACTTTTTTAACTCCTGTTCCTCATTCTGAACTGTCTGGCATTCCAGCAGCTTAAACTATTAAGTATGGTTATGTGGCTATGTGTGTGTCAGAGGTAGAGTTTATATATGATATGATTTTAAAGTGTAGTAAAGTTTATTTTTACACACACACACAAAACTTTTTTTTCTCTAGCATAATACAACAAAAATGGTATCAGTTCTTAAATTAGTAGTTAAGGTTAAAAACTATATTTTAAAAGGTTGAGCAAGTGAAGCAGTGGTATTCACTGGATACTGTGCTGAAAACAAACTATACACTTTGTGGGAGGAGATGGAAGGAGAAAAAAAACTGGGAGACAGTACAGGGAGGGTTGACATTGTTCAAAAAGAAATGTACTCTTTACCTTATGTAAAAGTAATCCCTCTGTACATCATCTTTATAATAATAGTAAAAATATTAAAAAACCCAGAACCATCCCCCCTCCAGAAAAAAACCTATAGATTAAGAAATAAAATAAAAATAAAAAGACAAACTGAAAACTGGGAGGAAAAAAACATATATAAAAGGACTAGTATAAAAGTATACAAAACAAATCTTAAAAACCCAACAAGAATAAAATGAATAACTCACTTAAAATGACTAAAAAAGCACAGTGGAGAGTCTAATATATCTAATATATATTTTAAGCATTTAGTAAACTTTGTGTTCCCTTTCGTGATTAGAAAAAGAATCTTACTAAAGAAGATTTACAAATAGCAAAGAGGCACCTGAAATGATGTTCAATCTCATACACAGAGGAATTGCAAATTAAAACAGTGAGATACAACAGAAACAGCCAGATTCATCAAGGACAATATCTTACGCCTTGGAGTTATTAAGGTTTAAGATCAAACCTCCTCCCTCCAGGAGATTTTCAATATAGCATAGCTGTGAACTCACCACGGCCATCTAAAACAGATACCAGTTAAATATAGGTTGTTGTCCTCACAGTGATATAAATTGAATATGCTGTTTGTGCGTGGCAGGTATATTCAGTATGCTAAATCTATAGATTTTCCATTTCTCTATTATTCATTTAAAATACTATAATTATTCATATAGCAAACACTTTATGATTTTTATGTATATTAGTCCTGGGACTTGAACTCAGGGCCTGGGAGCTGTCCCTGAGCATTTTTGCTCAAGGATAGCTACCACTTGAGTCAAAGCTCCACTTCTGACTTTTTGGTCATTAACTGTAGATAAGACTCTTTTGGACATTCCTGCCCAGGCTGGCTTTGAATCATGATCCTCAGTCCTCAACCTCGTGAGTAGCTAGGTTTATAGGTGCTATGGGTGCCTGGCTAACACTTTACTTTTATGATTTTTTTTTTTTTTTTGTCGGTTGTGGGGCCTAAACTCTGGGCCTGGGCGCTGTCCCTCAGCTCTTCAGCTCAAGGCTAGCATTCTACCACTTGAGCCATAGCACCACTTCTGGCTTTTTCTGCTTACGTGGTGCTGAAGAATTGAATCCAGGGCTTCATGCATGTGAGGCAAGCACTCTATCACGGCGCCACCTTCCCAGCCCAACACTTTACTTTTAAAGGACAGATTTTCATTATTTTTTTAAATTGCTCTTTCATTTAAAAGAATAACACTGAATGACTTTGATTGGGATATTCTAACCCTTGTCATCTTCTGTTCCTGATAACGGAAGCCTATCAACTTAATTTCCTGACAAGTGAATTTCCCAAGTCACCATTTAAATTAGACAGAAGAATGACTTTTTGGTTCTCTTCCGGTCCATCAATCCACTTTCAACACAAAGCAGCTATAGAAGATGGATCATCACGCCTCTGTATTCCTTTTAAGGTTAAAAGGGACCAAACTTGTTTAGAAGGTAAATTAAGACAGGACTGATAAATAGGCATGGAGACAGGAAAATATTACTTTTTAAATAAATATCCAAAAGGACAGACTCAAAAGTTAAAATCAGGAAATCAAACGTATCTCCTTTTTAATGTTAGGTTACAAGATTAGGAGAAACAGCAGAAGCTTTCTCAATATTCTTTCACTGAAATGATTATAAAATTCTGGAAACTTCCGAAACCCTTCCAAGACAGAGGGGAAAGGGCATATGTGGCAAAAGGAAGTCCTAAAAGTCATTTTGTCATCTTACCTTCCCCAAACCATTATCTAAGGGTTAGAAGCTGTTAGACTGATAGGACTACATGTATTTGCCTAGCTCAAAAAGGACAAAAGTAGCAGAAGATCACAATAGCTCAATAGCTATTTATCTATGACCATATAAAATGATGCTAATTGAAATGAACTCCAAGAAATGGAAACAAGAAGGTGTTTTTTTGTTGTTGTTGTTGATGTTGTTGTTTTAATGTACTGTATGAAGTTCTTTCTTTTTATTTCCCCCTTTGATTTATCCCCTGTAGTCACTGCTTTTGATTTTGGTAACTTGTGTCTTGTATATACGTTTATAGGATTTGGGGATGGGAAGGAGAATAGCGAAATGGTGAAACAAGGACAAAGGGTGAACTAATGCGACAGTGATACAAGACACTAGGTTGCGGGGGAGGGCTAGTGGGAGAAAAAGGAGGAGCAGGTGACAATGTTTGACAAGAAATGTACTCGTTACCTTACTGATGTAACTGTAACCCCTCTGTACATCACCTGGACAACAAAATAAAATTATAAAGAAAAAAATAAAATCACGATGGTTTTATATGCTAAAAAAAAAGTACACAAGCTACAGAGAAGAGCCATTTTGAGTCTTTAATTCCCATTTCCTCCATGGGGATCAGGGAATGTTTCTGTTTTTCTATTTTTCTCTATTTTTAATCATGTTATACAGAAATAAATCCTTGCTAACATAAAAAAACTTAGATACAACTATATATCTATTATATTTTCAGAACAATTATTGAACCAAATCAATGCAAAGACATAGGAATACAAAATGACCTACCCACTTAGGAAGAACTACTGAGCAGCTTCATACAAAATTAATTATACTTTTACCATATGATCCTGCATTCTCAATTCTTGGTAATATATATATATATATATATATATATATGTTTACACACAAAATTCCACATATGAAAGTTTATAGCAGGTTTTTTTTGTTTTTGCTAGTCATGGGGCTTGAACTCTGGGCCTGGGCACTGTCCCTCAGCAATTCAGCTCAACACTAGCATTCTATCACTTGAGCTGCAGCGCCACTTCCGGTTTTCTGGTGGTTTATTGGAGATAAGAGTTTCACGGACTTTCTTGCCTGGGCTGGCTTTGAACCGAGATCCTCAGATCTCAAGACTCCTGAGTAGATAGGATTACAGGTGTGAGCCACTGGCACCTGGCTTTTACAGCAGTTTTATTAGTAATTGCCATGGCATATAAGCAAGATATAATTAGTAGGTGAAAGTATAGACCAAATGGCATCTATACAATGGGGTATTACTTACCACTAAAAAATGAGCTATCAAGTTATAAAATATCATGCATATTATAAAGTGAAAGAAGCCAATATGAAAATATGAGCCCAATTATATGACATTCTAGAAAAGGCAATACTATAGAATAAGTAAAAAATTATTAACAGAAAAAATTATATCATGGTTTCCCTCATTTGTAATAACTAAAATATGTCTAAGATATTCTTAGGAGATGACCACATATAAGCATATAAAATGATGCTTTTCGAAATGAAGTCTGAGAAAGAGAACCAAGAGGTTTTTTTAAATTGTAATGTTTGCAGTTATTTCTTTTTTCCCCTTGGTTTATTCCCTGATGTCACTGTTTTTAATTTCCATACCCTTTGTCTTGTACATAAGTTTATCTGATTTGGGGAAGGAAAGAGGAATCACAGAAACAGTAGGACAAAGGATAAACCAATTTAACAGTGATACTAGACACCATGTCAGAAACGAACTTTACAATTTGGCACGAGTGTGGGAGTGGGGGTTGGGAGGGAAAAAGTGGGAGAAAATGAGGGAGGGGGGTTAATCCTATTCAAAAAGAAATGTACTCATTACCTGATTTATGTTACTGTATTCACTCTGAGCATCACCTTTACAATAAAATTTAAATTAAAAATTATATGTCAAAAATTGGTAAGGAATTTTACATTTGGTGTTTAACTATGCCATGTTGCTTTATAAAATAATTACCTAGTTTTGACAGAAATGCCACATTTCATGAGATTCCAAATCACATGGAAATATATTTTATTTTAATCAAGGTATTTCTTTAACTTAGCAAGAAAATATTTATAAATCACTTTAGTTACTAACCTTATCTAGCATGGTTTTTTAAAAATAATGCAATTTTATTGTCCTATTCATACTTATTCTTTTATACTACTACTGGGGATAAGCAAGCAAATGTGGTGACTGTGGTGTCAGATATCTCAAGATTTAAGGCATTTAAGAATGATTTCTGTGCATTTCCTCTACAACTTCTAGGGGCATATGGTTAAGCAGCTGTTGTTACTCTTAGGGCTGTTGCTAGGGAACAAAAAAATCAGGGTGATTTCCCTAGGCTCTGGACTTTAATGAGCATCATTTAAATTGAGTACTGGATAACATGATTCAGAAAGCATTCAGAAGGTAGAAAGAAACAAAGCTAGCAGCTGGCTCTTAAAAAAACAAAAAGAGTGATGTGGATGGGGAGGGAATGGAGCTCATGTAGATATGGTTAAGATGAAGAAAATTTTCATTTTTCAATGTTACACAATACTGGAAATGGATCCTTTGGCACTACTTTTTCCTTTTAAGTAGTTCTTGATATTGAGTAAGAATACAGTATGATAAACCACTCTGAATAAGATTCATAAGTTTAACCTCTGGAAAAAGTAAAAAGTATAGTGTTCCAACCTTCTCCCATCCTGCTTAGGGTAAAACGGACATGGAATATGGTACGTCAGAAAAATGATACAAATTTTACAAGGACATGACAGTCATTCTATAAGGTATTAATAAGCAAGTCAAATAGGAAGCACTGTTTGTGAGGCTGTGAAGGCAGACTGATTTTAGTTTGAATATTGATTACTTCCAGATCTTGGGGAAATTACTCTAAGCATCAGCTATATTTTTTCATATGAAATGTGAGAAAATGATCATAATAATACCTTAATAGTGCAAAAAGCCACTATACTAAATGATAATATGCATAAAGTTCATTATAGGACGAATAACTGCTTCATGTTAGATGTTACTTTTGTATTGGCAAAATCATTTTCATCAAGTAAAAATGACAAACATTCGAATCATCTCCGTGCCATACTTCAACTGCTCTGATGTTCTATTGTTCATGCTGATACTAGCATAGCTTTATCAACAACAGTACCATAAAACTGATCCTGGATCTAAAAGAGATGTAACACATGATACAGTTGCATGCTGGCATTTTTGTATTTTTGCAATGTGCAATATTTTTTAGATTTGTATTTAAGTAGTAACTAAAAATGCAATGTTAGTATTTAATTAATATTATTATTCCCCTGACTTTTTAATGACTACTGTAAAAGTTATTTATATTAACATACAATTAAAAATCTTATACTTCTACATAGTACATATTTTGGGGTGTTGTCAACAGTAGGTACCCACAGAAGCTCTGCTGTACAGGAACATGGAGAAAAGGTGCATCTTTCTCCCAAATTTCCCCTTTCCAGTTCACTTGCATTGTCTTGATGGCTGGCAGGAGACAATGTTTCCAATACATAAACTATGAATGTCCAGTGAGATAAAGGCAAGCCAAAACAAAAGCAATGAAATAATATCCAAAGAGACATTTGTAGTGAATCTGATGAATATCCTATCGGCTAAATCTAGGATAATTCGGGAATCAAAATAAAATTGGGTTATAATATATTTCATGACAAAGAATCCGTAGGTCTCCATGAAATCTCAAAAATATGTAAATAAAGAAGCAGGGAAAGTTCTTTCTTAACAAGACAATACCGATTACTAAAAACAGAATGAAGGGGCTGGGAAGGTGGCTCAGTTGTAGAGTGCTTACCTTGCATGCATGAGGCTCTGGGTTCAATTCCTCAGCACCACATAAGCAGAAAAAGCTGGAAGTGGTGCTGTGGCTCAAGTGGTAGGGCGCTAGCCTTGAGCTGAAGAGCTGAGGGACAGTGCCCAGGCCCAGAGTTCAGGCCCTACAACTGACCCAAAAAAAAAAAAGAAAAAGAAAAAAAAACCCAACAGAATAAAATCCCTGCTTTATAACCCCAAAGGGGAAAAAAACAATTCAAGCAAAAATCATCAATGGATACTGAATGGAATTTGATAAAGATTGGAAAATTTATAGACTTTCCAAGTATATCCCCACATATTACTCAAATACTGTGTGTATATGTTTGTGTGTTATCCATATCTCTAATTCTTCAAATATTAAATTTATTAATTGAAATATAAGAAATAGTATAACCTAAATAGATGTTGAAAGTTAGCCTTTTTTTCCCAACAAAAGGCAAAAAGACTTCATGTGTCTTTGGATGTGACACCCTGCAATGGACACAACATAAATTATATTGTATTCCAGACAAAGTTCATAATGTGAATCTATTATGAGAAATTTCAAGAAAACTCAAATGAAACTTTTAAGAGGAGAGAATTACTGTCCTCCCATCCCCAAATCACCAAGACAATGAAAGCCAAAGAAAGATGAGCAAATACTGTAAGACATGTATACAATTTACCCTAAAATGATTCAATAACATTGAGAGGTGTGATTATGTAGAAGAAATAATAAAGTGAGGTGGGAGAATGTGAAAAATTGGTGAATTTGGTCAAAGGGCATGCAAAAGTTATTGTGATTAATAGATACAACCTAACTACAACCAGATATCTAATAGTTAAGGAATCCAAGCATAAAAATGTGAGAAACCTTGTGTTTGAGTTCAGGAATAACTGCTATCCCTATAATACACTGAAAAATACCACTTAAGGAAAGAGCATTATCAGTGTAGGGGACCCAGTGAAGAAAAACATCAAAATATTAAATAAGAGATTTTTCTGCCATGTTTAATCAGGAAATTTTATTTTTAAGATCAGATAACTTTTTTACATCAAGATAGGAAAGAAAAACTTCATGGACTACTGGACTATTTCTGGTGTGTGACTTAGCCCTTAAAGTTTCTGTCCATGTATATAAAGCATGTAGCCAGTAACATTATTGTTTTGCTACGAACTATCTACTTAATACTTTGTGCCAAGCACTTACCTCCTTGCTGGCAAACATATTTAGAGTTCAAACTTAAGCCTATCAGATCCAAAGCTCCTATTCTTAACCACCAAACCACATGCCCAGAGCTGTTAGAAAGACTGCTGGCAGAGATGTTTTACCATCTGTTTTTTCACCTGCCATTCTCATATCTTTTACCTCTGTCACTGTTTATACCTTTTTGTTGGTCCCAGACATAACTGCTTTTTGAGACTACTGCTCTTGTGAGCAAGCAGGCTTTGAAGTGGAAGGCTACCTAGATCAAACTTCAGCACAGAATCTGATTAGTCAATAAATTCTTATCCTCTATTTTGTCATCAGTAAAATAATTATAATTTTTATCCCATTGTACTTAGGATAACAGTGGAGAACATAACCTATAATAGAAAGTTTACACTAAAAGGTCGATTTGTATCCATTCTTTCCATTCCTTTTAAATGAAAACTTTTACTTCTATTTCTCCATTCTAGAGTACTTTTGATTGTTTTGGATTTAATAATCTGAGTAGTCTTATCCTGATCCTAAATTAAGTTATCCATGACATTTGAAGAGATACCATCAACTTTTACTAGGGAAAAATAGCAACTAGTAAATATATAAAGTAAGTTAAAGTTAACAGTCATTAGATTGATACAATACATACAAAAGCAGTTTGGCAAATAAGGTCAATCATGGATAATAGATATACCTTTCCTGGCATTTACATACTCATACTATCATCTTAAACATTAAAAAAACCATTAAAATGGGAAAAGATACCAACTTCTTACTAAAAAGGATATGCAGATGGTAAATTGGTATGTGATAACATGGGGAAGATTACAGGCTAGCTGAACATAAAGAACAGGACATTGGTAGATTACCTGCCTTGAAAGTGCAAGGCCAGGAGTTCATTCCCAGTATAGCCAAAGAAAAAGAAAAACAGAAAAGTGTTCAGTATCTGGACTATGGAATGAGGTATACAAATCTACACAGATCTTTATATACACATATAACTAGCTCAAATAAAGACTAAAATCTAAATCCAAAGTAGGTAAACTGTGTCAATACCAATATCCTGGCTGTGATAGTATAGTTTGCAAAATATTAACAGGGAGGTTGAAGCATTTGGATGATCTATCTGTATATATTTCACTACCATAATGCATAATTTTCTACACATACACAAAAAACTAGAAAAGGGTAAATTTATGGTATGGAACTTGAAGTGGGTAAACTTACGGTATGGAAGTGATATTTTAACAAAACTGTTTTTAGTCATTTTTTATTGTTGTTGTTGTATTTGTGGTGCTAGGGCTTATACTCAAGGCCTTGTGTATGCCAGACAAGCACTCTACTATTGAACTATATCCTGTGTTCCAAACGATTTTTTAACAAGAATTAGACTTTAATGAATGTTCCAAAGTGAATAAGCAAGAACACAGCAAGTCTGGTGTGATTTGAGTTTATTTAGATAGCTTCAAATATATTTCTAATGTAAATTTCTAATATAAATGATTTCTAATATAACTGGAAAAACTTACTTTATTAATATTTTATACATTTTTATATATAATATTTTATTATCTTAATATTTTTATTTAAGTCCCTAAATTCTTATATACACTTGCTTCATTCAACTAACAATAGTCATTATTAGCAGCAATTATTTATCCACTAATACTTAGTGGGATAACCAATTTAAAAAATCAAAATGTAAATATTTAAGTCTTTTTGGTTACCTTTAAATAAATTTCTAGTTTATTATGTTGAAATTAGAAAATAAAGACTAATGATTGCTTTAGAGAAATGTAGAGATATATTCTTGATGCTGACAAAGTGGAGGGTGAATTTAAAACCTCAATTATTTTATAATCTTAAGTCTTGTGTGACCTTAAATATTTCAAGTAAGGTTCTAATTTTCTTGTTAAAATATAGAAAATTATCCCTAACTTTATAGAGTTGCTGAGATTTATACAAAATCATCTTTTAATGGCTAAAGAATATAATGGCTGGGTCAATTTTTTAAAAAATTTAACACAAAAATCTGAGAAGCAGGTATACTAGTCAGACATATTTTTAGAAACAAAAAAACTATAGTTTTAGTGTAAAAAAAATCTGTTGCAACACAGCACACAGAAACTCCTACCTAGAGACTACTACAAATTAAACATTAGCAATAGCTAGACATTGATGGATTGTGACTGTAATCCTAGCTACTCAAGAGCTTGAGATCTAAAGATCCTAGTTCAAAGCCAGCATAGGCAGAAGAGTCTATAATATTCTTATCTCCAATGAACCACCAACATACTGGCTCATGTTTTCTACTCCTTGAGTGGAAAAGCTAAAGGACAGTGCCTAGGTCCTGAGTTTAAACCCTGTACTGGTACAAAAACGAAATCAAATACCAATTTACTAAAACTGTTAAGAATAGTAATAGTACTATCTACTGCCAATAGATCATTTCATTTCTAAAAGAGGTTAATGTTTGCCTTTTTCCAGAGTGTAGTATTTCTATAAAGGAAATAGAATTATTTTTCAGAGCATTTGTATATCTATTATAAATGTATCTGCAGAATATCAAGCAGTTTTAATCAATATATCCTTATTCAGTAAATTAAATACCAAATAAGGTATAGCATAAGAAAAGGTAACTGCACTAATCCTTTTAGTAATTCCTTGGCACTAAGCATTCAAATGGCACATGCTTACACATAATGAAGAATGACTTATATAATGCTTACTATATAAAATCCACACAGTGAAAGATGAAAATAGAAGCAAGGAGGTCTGAAGCAAACAACCTGATTAAATACTTTTGTCTGAGGTCTATAAAGCTCTTTTTGACCGAGTAGTGGTAAATCATTGGTATGTAATGACTGGCAGGCATAAGACTAAACTCATTGAAGTGTCTCATAAATGACTAGTTTTCTTCAATATTTCTTATTTAAACACAGGAATTTGTAAACAATGTCCCAGCTCAGATAAAAGTCTAAAATATATACAAAAGAATTATCTCTCAAACAAATTTTATTCAATTTTAAAGGTAAGGAATTTCATAGACTTTTAAAAAGGATTTTTTGGCATTTCTAAGTTGAGAGTACCAACTTGATGTCTGGTTATTTTAGGTTTTAAACATCTTTAGGTTATATAGAGTAATACTATTCAATGGCATAAGGATGTGGGAGAGTTTCTGACAAAATAGTTTCTATGACACAGTTAAAAATCAGATTTGTATCCTAGCATTTTATTTCTTCATATCCCAAAGAACAGACCACCAACGTAGTTTAGATAGACAAATCTTAAAAAGAAAAAAAACACACTGATAACGAATCGCATTGCCAAAATTTAAAGGCAACAACTATAGAGAAATGAAAGAAGGGCAAGTCCATGAGGAGGTCTTTCTAAGAAGAAAAGGCACACAGCTAAGTACCATGGGGTCACAAGGTGCACTGAACACATAAAAAAGCCCTCACTCATTAAATTTAAAGATCTGGTTCTGCAAGAGAGTACTTTTCCTTACTAAAGGGTATGTGATTTGTAGATTTTTCTTTAAATTCAGATAGGTTTACAATATTATTTTGTTTTCTGAAGATTTTGTTCCTGTACTATAATTTGGTACTGTTCTAAACAATATAAAACTGAAGATTTGTTATTGCTACATAACTAAAAATCAGAAAATATTTAACTTAATTTCTTCAGATGTTCAGTAAGAAATGTTCTATTTGTCTGTTTTAAATTCCAGAGAAATTTTCCACACTTCTCATCACTCTCATTTTTAATTATATTGCTTCTTATTTAAATCTACTACTATGTAACCAGCAATGGACAATCTGAACAATCTGAATAGAAAAATGAAGAAAATAATTCTATTTATATGACAAAAATAAAATACTGAGGTATTAATCAAGAATGCAAAAGAATTTTACAGTGAAAACTGTAATGCTGAAACACAAAATACAATAAATAAATGAAAAAACTGTACTTTGGATTCGAAAACAGTATTGTTAAGATGTCAATACTACATTAAAAAAATCAAAGACAATAAGGGGGATCTTGATTATGTGAGGTACTCAAAATAGTCAAAACCACACACAGAATATAGAATAGTGATTTCCAAGGACCTGGGAAAGAAGTAAGGCTGGACATTTACATGGTGAGACTTGTCATATTCAGGTGGATGGGAAGCACCTGAGATATAAGAGATAAACTGGAAGAAACACAGGCAGTCACACTGGGTCACAGCCAAAACTGTGTCATAACCCAAAGACTGTACCTTATTTTTCTAGAAAGGTTATATGGACCACTGACAAAAGCTGTGCTGGTGACAAGTAGTCAGGCCATACAAAAAGAAGATGGCACCTTCCAAATAATGCTTAAAAGAAATATCCAAAGTATGTCCGTAAAACACCTTACAAATCCCAATTTGATCATATCAACACAATGACTACCACTGCCTTTTCATTATATCTGTACTTACTCTTGGCTCTTTCCCAAACCTCTCAGTCTAGTTGGAAGCCATTGGTTCACACCTGAAATTTCTGCAACTCCAAAAAGCTCAGATACAGAGGATCAAAGTTCCAAGACCAGCATGGGCAGAAAATCTATGGGGCTCTGTTTCCAAGCCAGCAATTCTATTCCTGGACATATTTATCCAACAGACCACAAACAAGGCCACACTAAAGCTATCTGCATGACCATGTTTACTGCAGTATTGTTTACCATAGCCAAAATATGGAATCAACCCAGATGCCTCTCAGTGCAAGAAGCGATCAAGAAAATGTGATATATATACACAATGAGATTCTACTTACCCATCAGAAAGAATGACATGGTATCATTAGTAAGGAAATGGAAAGACTTGGAAGAAGTTATATAAAGTGAAGTAAGCCAGACCCCCCAAAAGGTAAGTTACATAGTTTCTCTCATTTGTAGTAACTAGAATGTGCCTATAAATCTACAAATAGAAACACTGGATGGTTACACAATACACACACACACACACACACACACACACACACACACACACATACACAAGGACATGATAAACTATATTGGTATCTAGGTATCCAGCCATTCACACACAGTGAGACCAAAGGAAGATATTCTTAGGAGAGGAAGACAAAGGTGCAATACCTGTGTGTATTGATCATGTAAAATAATATTTACCTAAATAAATTCCAGGAAATGGAAATAAGAGGGTTTTTTCTTTGTGGCTATTTTTTTCCTGTTGTCTTATTTGTTTATTTATCTGTCTTCGGGTAGTAAAAGTGGACACAGAAATGCTAGTACAAAGGGTAAACAAATTCAGCAGTGGTACTCAGTAGACTCCTGAAAATAAACTATACAATTTGTAGGTGGGGTCATAAGGGAAAAACTGGGAGACAGTGAGGGAAGGAGTACATTGTTCAAAAATATACTCTTTATCAGACCTTTATAATAACATTAAAATATAATTTAATGAAAAGAAAGCAAAAAGCCAGGCTAGAGCCATGGTTCAAGTGGTCAGAGTGCCAGCCAAACAAGCCAAGCAAGCTTGATGCCCTCAGTTCAAAACTTCCTCCAACCTCCCCTTTGCTCTCTTGAAATACTCCTACTTCAGCCTCTGAAGTGCTGAGATTACAGGCATGAACCACCACTCCCCAGCTTGATCAACATTAAACATATGAAAGGACAATGGATAAAAGTATATCAAATTGTGACCCATCTGCTCATGCAGACCATAAAGCATACACAGGCCTCTCAAATGCGAAGCGTTTCAAGAAAAATATGAAAGGTAAACAAAAAATGAAATTTGCCTCTTCAGATAATTGGAAAAAAACCCTTCCTCAGAGATAAAGCTAGTATACATTTGCTTATTCCTCTACAATCTAGCATTTTTCTTTGGCTAAATGCAATTCTGTTGGACACAATTTTTCTCAGTTTTTATTACCCAAGTAATTAGCCAGGAAATGTGCAGCAGGTGGTTCCAAAACATCATCCAGAGATCTTTGTCTCCTGAGATTCACACTCTGTAATCCTCTAGGTGTCTACTTTGAGTTGGGCTTAAAGTCATTACAAATACATCAAGGGCAGTAGTAATGGGATATTATTTCTGAGAAGAGGTTGTAAAATCTTTAGGTCTAGGATGTTCTTTTGTATTGCATGTGTTGGGAAGCTGGCTGCCTCATTTGAATGATACCAAGAAGGGACCCATGTGGTGGAGATTCTAGGTCTACCAGCAACAGGGGGGCTAATCCCGCACATGGAAGCATATTCTGCTCCATCTCAGTAACCTTAAGACTAGATCACAACCTCTAATTACAGCTTGACTGAAATCTTGTGAGAAGAATGAGAAACCAGTTTGTTAAACTGGACCCCAATGACTGGCTTGCAAAAACAGAGATGTTTCTTGTTTTAAGCTGGGCAAAATTTGGGGGTAATTTGTTAATTAGCCATAGATCACTAATGAAGTATCTTACTAGTGTGGAGGAGATTCGGTTTCAGGAATACAGTTAGTAAACTCCAAATAATAAAAAAAAAGTGAGGGGAGAAGAGGACTGAATGTGGTGATTTTAATCCTCACATTCCTGACTCTGCATGGCGAAGAGCTAGAGTTTGAGGAAAGCTTGAGGTAAATATCAAGATCCGGGTCAGCCTGGGCTACACAGCAAGACCCTATCTTAGGCAAAACAAAACAAAAGCTAACGAATAAGTAAATAAATAGGAGAAAGAAAGATGAAACAATAAATTGGCTCCATTTGCCAATAAAGGCTATGATATATTCATTGGGGGAAAATCAGCATCCTTAAAAAAAATATATATGTAAATCGCGTATAAAAGAAGTTTGACCGGATACATACAGAATATAAAACTAAAGCCTACACCATATTAAATGAGTGAGAAGTGGGATTTATGTAGTTTCACCGAACAAAAAAATACAAGCACCTATCACATGAGAGACTGGAGAAACAAGACAGAGAAACAAGGCAAAGGAAGAACTTAGCAAACTTTCCAATCGATATTTGCCTGCTGCAGTCAGTAAGCATCAGGACCCGCCGCGTGTGTGCACTCACATTACTCGAGAGTAGGAACACAACAACAACTTCTGTCTAGGCGGCCACTTAACTACCCGAGAGCAACACGTGGGCCCGAGCAAAGTAACCCTCGTTGTTGGTCCACTCTTTCGGAATGACCCAAGGTCACTCTAGAGACACCCCCGGCTGACCTATTCTTCAATGGCCTAGAAACTCATCTCCTCCCGCCTCGTGATACCGAGTCTTCCTTCTAATAAGTCACCACGGCTGTCAATCAACACGCTTTACACGGTCATTGGTCGTCAATTCCTGCAGGTCTGTCAGCCTCAGCCAAGTGCCGGGCGCCAGGCTGTCTTTATTTCCGAGAAGGAAAAAAAGAAAAGAAAAGAAAAAGAGACTGTGCAAGAAAAAAGAAAAAAGAAAGAAAAGAAAGGGAAGGCATGATCCGAGCCGACGGCCGTACCTGAGCGACCTGCGATCTCCACCGCCGCCGCGACGAATCGGCCTCTGCGCGGGAGCCTTCCACCAGACCGAAACTGTTCAGCCGGGAACCGGTGCCCAGGCCATGGAGAAGCCGGTCCCAGTTTGACTTGCTCAGGCCGGTGAGGATGACGGCCACCGAAGCACCCGCAAGAGCGCCCGGACCCCTCGAACTCGGAGCACCCGCCAGTCAGAGATGCCCACCGCCGGGGTTTTGACGTTTCCTATTGTTGCCGGAAGTGACGCAGGGAGCCGCCCCTAAAGAAGAACCAGGGCCGTCCTCGGCTCCTCAGATTCGCCACGGATGCCTGGACGGTGTTTGCCGTGTCTTCACCGCGAGGCTGACCACTGAAGGCACACAGGCTTCTCTCTGGCGGCGTGACGGAGGACCAGCGAATGAGGCCTCGCTCCGACGGGCCGATTCCCCTCCGCGGTCGGGCAGGGCGGTGTGTGGAATCTGCGGCCTGAGCGCCCGCCGCTCGGCAGCGCCGGCCGCGGTGCGTGGCGGGCCGGCGCCCGCCGTTCCCAGTACAAACCGTCGGCGCGAGAGCCGCGCGGCCGGCGCCGGTCTGGGATCAGCTGGCCTGGGGCGCTCAGCCGCGGCCTCCGGGGACTCCCTCCCTCCCGCGGCCCTGCCGGCGCAGGGCCCGCAGCCCGAGCGGCTTTCTCCGGCGGCCCTCGGGAGGCGCCTGGGAGGGGCGGACGGCCGCCCGGGGTCTCTGCGTTCCGTCCCGGCGGCGGGCCGGGCGCCCGAGGCGGGCTTCGTCTGCCTGCCCGAGCGGTTCGCGTTGTTCTGAGGCTTTGTCTTTTTTCATCCGAACGCTTTTGCTATTGGATTTTTTCCCCCTGAACTTTTAAAAAGAAAGGTGTGCAGGGGGGGGGTATAATTTAACTCGTTCGTTTCACGTCCGGTGCTGCGCGATCGGGGTCGCCCCCCCCTTCTTAGTGGTTGAGCTTTGTGGCTCAGGACTGGTGTTCCAGTGCTGTACCACTTAAGCCCCAGCTCCACTTCTGTGTGTGTATGGGGGGGGCATGAAGGGGGGGCAGAGAGGAGAGGAGAGGAGGAAAAAAGAGCAGAGTGTGTGGTGTGGATTGGAAATCAGTCTCCACTGTCTGGATGACTTTCCTGCCCCAGGCTGTCTTTGAACCGCGATCCTGAGACTTCAGCCTCCTGAAGTAGCCAGGCTCACAGTACCTGAGCCACCGGTGCTTGGTCCTTCCTCTCTTTCCCGTTTTGATCATAAAGTCACGGGAAGAACTGTGGCGGCTCATCTGTACAGAATTGGTTTGTGGTCTAGGGCTGGGAAATGATACACTGATTGGTTCCCGTTGGATCTTCTGAGCTGAGATCCATCGAGTTGGTTCAGAATACTTCATAGAAGGCTTAGTAAGTACTGCTTGTTTTCCTGGCTTGTGTTTTCCAGGGGTTTCAAATATTTCTCCTCTTCCCTGGAGGGATGCGTATTTTTCTCTCACTAGAAAAATCAATCTTAATGAACTGTAGTTTTTCAGATTATGGCTAGACTATTTTAGGATTCTGGCTAACCCATTAAAAGAAATATTTGCAACCCTTTTAATGATTGCAAATATGACCACAAGAGCCACTAGCTCTACTTCCCTAATCTTTTCAATCCTAGTTAAGCTTTTCTTTCCTAATTTGTAGAAAGTTGAATTAATTTTTATTGATCTTTCTCTTTTGGGCAGGGGGAGCAGGAGGGAGCAGTCCTGAGATTTATTGGTCTGGGCCTGTGATTATTAGGTTACTGCTGAGCCATGCAGCCAGCCCTGCAGTTTACTGGTTATTTTGAAATAGGGTCTCTCTTGTCCTCTCCCCAGACTGGATGAGTTAGGCTTACCTGCATAGCTGGGATGACTAACTAGTGTCACCTTACACCTCTTCATTGAGAAGGGAACTCCACAAACATTTCTGCTAGGGTTTGCCTCTAGTATGATCCTCCTGATTTCAGCTATGTAGCTAGGATTGCAGGCATGAACCATTTGGCTTTTTCTCTACTTCTGATACTCAGCTTTAAGTTAGTGTAAAAGGTTAGTGTAAGCTATCTGCTGTAATTATTAGTCAGCTTCATTCAGAACAACAAAATATATCGAGTCCAGTGATCCAGTGATACCTGAATGGGAGACGTGATTTTAATGATCTTCACAACTTCATTTTTAAAATCAGTTGGACAGATTTATAGCCAACTCTGAGGAACCTAGGCAACACTATAAAAATGCTCTTTCCACTTCCCTCCTTGTCTCTTCCCTCCCTCCCTCCGTCCCTCCCTCCTCTCTTCCTTCTCTCTCTTCCTCTCTCTTCCTCTGGCCGTCTTTCTCTCTCTCTGTCCATCTCTCCCTCTCTCCTTTCTCTCCCACCTCCTCCTCTCTTTCCCTGTCTCTCTCTTTCTGTCCCTTTGACTATCTCCCTTTTAAATTTAGTATGCATTAGCTGTGACATCTCCATGAGTGTTTACACTGTATACTATTCAGTCTCCTATCTGTCTCTTTTCCTCCTCTTCTAGTTTGTAGTTTCATACATGTGAACTGTCTACTTAAACTATATTCTTCCTCTAGTAATATTAAAAGTTTCTTAATGATGGAATCTGTACTATAAACTGCATAATATCTCTTTTTATGTGTCTCATGGTGACAGTAAAAATATTAACCCTTTTCAAAGTAACAATATAGACCATTTCCTTTAATTAAGAATACTATTAGTAAATATCAGATTTTATCAAATGCCTTTTTATATGTATTGAAATTGTTATTTTTTATGTATTTAATTTTACTGATCAATTCTATTATGGATATACTTAGGTTATAATTTATTACTGTTCTTCAGTTTTATGTTTAAATTGTCTACCTGGGCTAGCTTTGAACCTTGATTCTCATATCTTGCCTGCTGATTAGCTAGCATTATAGGTATAAGCCACCAGAACCTACCTTAAACTTGATTTTTTTTAAAAAAAATTTTTTTCTTGTTAATAAAAAAGCAACAAATTGACAATTAGGTGATGTCAGAGCTCTGGGAAAAATGATTAAATCTGCACTAAATTTCCTTATCTCTGCTATTTTGCTAATTGTATTGCATACTTTCTAAAAGCATAAAAATAGTTATTTATGGAAGTCATATGATGTAAGTGTCCTATGAAATACATTATAAAGACAAATGAAAATAGTCAAGCTTAATTTTTTGTTCAGGAATTTATAATAGATACAGGCAGAATGTACTTGATGAATACAAAGATACTAAGTTCAGAGATAGAGCTAGTATAAGATAAATATGTAAGTACTTATAAGAATCTGTACAAAATAAGATTGAGAAGCTTCAAAACATATTTAAACAATTTTTAATGAATTTTTTTTCCTAGGTGGAAAGTTAGAAGATTTTAAGAGTTGGAGCTGAATCTAATGTTACATCATGGCAACAGGTGACTTAAAGAGAAGCTTACGGAACCTTGAACAAGTGCTTCGTGCACTAAATTATCCTGAAGAGGTGGATTATGTAGGGTAAGTTGTAATATAAAACTTATTTGTATTCTTTTTGCAAATAATTTGAGATAGCTATAATTCGATAGGAATCTCTTAAGGAAAAAAATAAAGATTTTTGTCTGAGTACTAGTTAAACTTATTTAATGCTTAAAATATTTGAGAAAGCATAGCTGGATATGAGTCGCTCACATTTGTAATCTTTGCTACTCAGGAGGCTGAGATCAAGATCATCATTTGAAATGAGCCCAGGCAAAAATGACCATGAGACTCTCTTATCTCTAATTAACCAGCAAAAATCCAGAAGTAGATCTTTGGCCCAAGTGATATAGAGTGCCAGCCTCAAGCAAAAACAGCAAAGGGGTAGTACCCAGGACCTAAGTACTGTGTGAGAATTAGCAAAGACATGAGTAGCTAACTAGAAAACAGAACATCTGTTCTGTCTGTCTCCCATAGATACTGATTACAATGGAGTCATTCTGACTGACATCACTGTGGAACAGACAGTTGAAGATAACCTTATGGAAGTCAAGATTAGGAAACTGATTCATAAAGAGTGACAATCAGATAGAAGAGTAGGATACTTCTAAGCTTGAGAAATTAGCAAAAGCTAAGAAGTTACAAATGTCATATGAGCAGTAAAACTACTTAACCAATCACAATATAAGCTTTTTCCAACCCTATTTTCCTGGTCTCTAACATATTTCATAAAAATTTACCTTTGCAAGTTTGTCTAGAGAGCAAATGAAGTAATATAAGTAGTCTTTGAGAAGTGGTACATCGGAGCAAATGAAGTACGCCAAGTAACAGTGAGCTTTAGAAAATCTGTAGTTGAGTATACTGCTGGCACTAATGAGCTGTCATTTTCTGAGTACATGAGCAGATGAGCAGCATTACTTCATAGTAGTTTGCCTCTAGTGATTTAGATCAGGAGACAGCATCTGGAGCATCATGCATTATCTAATTACTATGCTTGTAATGTTAAGTTTATATTTTTCACATTTCTAATACTTCCTTGACTATCCAACTTTCGGAATTATTTTGTCTTTTTCCCTTATAGTTTGATAAAAGGAGACCCAGCAGCATCTTTGCCCATCATCAGCTATTCTCTTACCTCATACTCTCCATACCTAACAGAACTTCTGATGGAATCTGATGTGGATCTTGTAGGAAAGAATGACATTTGCTTTACCGACACTGTTTATAAGGTATTATGAATATATGAGTTTTAAAGGTTACTGAATGATTTCTTTTTTTCTAATCTTAGTGCTTGAACTCAGTAAAGGGCCTGTGCTTTGTCCCTGCACTGCTTTTTTTCTCAAGACTAGTGTACTTTCCCACTTGAGCCACACTGCCACTTCTGAGTACTTTTTTGAGTAGTTTATTGAGATAAGAGTCTCATTTTCTGTGCTGGCTGGCTTGGAACCATGATCCTCAGATCTCAGTTTTTTGAATAGCTAGGATTATAGGTATCAGCCACCAGAGCCTGACTTTACTGAATGATTTTTCTTTTCTGGTCCTGGAGCTTGAACTCCTATAGCTTGAGTGCTATACTTGAGCCTCTTTGTGCTCAAGGTTAGTATTCTTACCAGTTGAACCACACTGCTACTTTTGGCTTTTTCTGAGAAGTTTGTTGGAGAGAAGAGTCTCACAGATTTTCCTATCCTGGCTGGCTTCAAACTGTGATCCTCAGATCTCAGCCTTCTGAGTAGCTACTGGTGCTACTGGTGCCCAGCTTGAATAATGTTTTAAATTAAGGTTTTGGTAATAACTGCTGAAGTGTGCAATCCCCATCTGTTAAATCAGTGAAGAGGCATTCTAACAATTGTGTTAATTCCGTCGTTGTGCAGACATCAGAATGTGCTCACATAAATTAGGATGGTATATCCTACTACATTACCTGGCACCTGTGTAGCATATTGTTTTGGGCTACAAACAGAGTAACATAGTTCTCTGCTGAATACTATAAGCAGTGTTGTAACACAATGCAGTGTATACCTGTATAGATAGTGCTTCATTGTAACTTGGGAGAGAACTTTTGTATATGTGGTCTTTCATTGACCAAAATGTCATGTGTTGCATGATTGTGTATATAGTATGAATAGTTGATAAAATACTTTCATATAGACTATAGACTAAATTTACATTATGAAGTTTGCTACCTTAATAATTACAATATGCCACTGACTGTTATTGACCTGCTTTCTATCAAATTTTAGTAAAGTTTTGTAATGGGTAGAAACTATAAATATAATCATATTCGGAAAAAAATTGTAACTCATACAATTCTGAGTTAATTTCATTGTAAGAAGGAACTGAAACTTTGAGATAATTCTTTGAGGTATGAGGTCAGGTTTTATATTGACACTAGAATCTACACTTCTATTGAATCTAATCTTAAATATTTAATATGTAGTATCTGTTATATTGCTGTTTTTTTTTTTTTTAGCCTGAGATCCAGAAAGCTTATCCAGAAGGCTAAGTGACATTATAAGAAATTCTAGGGATCTACTCTACCATTATAGTCTATTTAGAAATGAAAAATTGATCAAGCCCCATGACCAAAAAATGAAAATTGAGATCAGAAGGCCTTCTGACTTGTGTAAAGATTATGTAGTGGTAGAATTATAAACAAATAGAACTATGACTTTTTTGATATCTGGTATGTTATTCTAATGAATAAGGAGTTTTTCTAGTACCTTTTGATGCTATCTTATGTTTTTCCATCTCTCTGGTATATCTCTACCTATTTTCTATCTGCATACATTTTCTACTGGTATGACTTAAACCAGCTCTATAAATGTTTTTAGAACCTTTAGTTAATGGCTTGACCATTCTTGTCCTCTCAAAGGTAGCAATTACTGTGCTGTCCGGGTGGCAATTTATCATTTTGAATTAAAGAAGTGCTCCTAACTATACTTTTTCTCTTTACAGCTTCTTCGTGATCAGTTTGATTATAAACCAATTTTGACAAAAAAGCAATTCATACAATGTGGGTTTGCAGAATGGAAAATTCAAATTACTTGTGATATTTTGAATTGTGTGATGAAAAAACACAAGGAATTGTCTGGTCTTGATAAGGTGATTTTATGAACAGGTTTTTGTACAAACACCAGGTGGTCCAGTATTTCAGTATATGAAATCAAATATTAGATTACAAATTATTACACATATAATTTAATGTGCTATTCACAAATTTGAATAACCTTATAAAGTCTCATGTTTGCTTTAAAAACTGGTTTCTTTTACACATCTGTGACTTAGTATTGATAGTCCCAAATTAACAATTCATAGATGAATTTTTCTTACTTCTTAGATGTTTTTGTGTGGGATATTGGGATTAGTATTTTTTGTGGAGTTTTTTGGTGGTGTTGTTTGTCCTGAGCTTCTTTAGCTCAAAGCTAGTGCTCTACGACTCGAACCATAGTGCCACTATGGCCTTTTATGAGTAGTTTATTGGAGAAAAGAGTCTTAATAGACTTTTCTGCTGTGGCTAGCTAGCTTCAAACTATGATCCTTAGATCTCCGCTTCTTGCATAGTTAGGATTATATGTGTGAGCTACCAGTGCAAGCTTTTTTGTGTTTTTGTTGTTGTTTGTTTGTTTTTGACACAGAGTCTTAATAGATAGCCTAGATAGGCTATCTAACAGATGGGGTTACTGTGTAACCCCATCTGGCTTCAAACTCATCGCCTTAGCTTTCCAAGTGCTGCGGCCAAGATGTATGCTACCATGCCTTGCTGATTTTCTTTAAATGAAATGTAGTTTCATTAGAGTTGAATTGTTTTGTCAGTTCTATTTTAGAAATGAGTGAGTGGTATTGGAATTTAAATCCATATTATGCGTTTCACAAAATTTGCTATATCTAATACATTTTTTTAAGACCCCATCATGCCAAAGAAAGACAATGGTTTGTGATAAGGAAGAACCTTCTTCAAGCAATGAGAAAGTTGCAGAAGCTGTTGGAATTGATGTCACTAGCAGGTTTATCACTTCAGGAAAGGTATGAAAGAAAAACATGCAGAGAATAATGAACCCAGTAGACAAGTGCATTTCGTAAAACATTTCATCCAAAATCCTGCATTGTGAAAATTTTTAATAGCATATTCTATGTACTATTTGAGGAACATTCCTAAAGATAGAAGAACAGCATAGAAATGTAAAATTGAACAAGATTATATTTCTAGTTCTGAATTCTGCCCCATTTTCTAGGTAAAGTAGTAGCCATTTGGGTAAGTTACATTAGATAATCATGTACATTTACTTTTACTTATATATGTGACCTCCCTAAAACATGGGAATATATAAAGAGCCTTTTATTAATAATAGGGAAGTTTATGGTAATTCACTGAGACACATTGGAATCATTAGCTGAAAGTCTAATATATTGTAATTTAACAGAAAGAAAGTTGTACTGCATCCTATTTGATTATTTGTAAATTATATTATAATATTTTGTTTGTTTATTTAGAAACAGGGTCTGTAAAGCTAGGCCTAGCCTGGGCTTGTAATCCTCCTGCCTCAGCCTTTGGGCTGAGCAGTCACTGTGAGAATCTTATCTCCAATTAACTATAAAGTCTGAAGCACATTGTACATAAACCTTTGTAGTAAGTGTATAGTGTATTGATTCATTATGTAGTAGTGAACTTTTTTTAATGTTTGAAGAAGAATGGATGTGCTTTTTGCAGAATTACTGTGTGTGTTTAAAATAATTGTGAAGTAAAACTATATTGTAATTATACAGAAAAAAGCTCTGGTGATCCGTCACCTGTACAATGAAGATAATGTTGACCTTCCTGATGATGCAGGAAGTTCAGTAACAGATGTTAGTGAAGAATTTGATTCGGCTTGCATAAAGACTACTGAAATAGTAATTCCTGAAATACAAGTGTGTGAAGTCAAGACCCAGCAACAGGTAAGAATTTAGAGTGTTATTTTTTTTCTTTCAGTACATCCCTCTATTTCTTATTTTGACATTTACAAATATTTCAGAATTGATGCTTTGGAATACTTCTAGCCTTTTATATTATTAATCATGTCATACTGTTTGTACATTATCATTACTTAAGAATCAATTAGTTGTGCTTGGTGTAGGTGGCTCACACCTGTAATCGAAGCTTCTCAGGAGACTGAGATCTGACAATCACAGTTTGAAGCCAGCCTAGGCAGAGCAGTCACTGTGAGAATTTTGTCTCCAGTTAACTCTAAAACCTGTAGTGGATCTGTGACCCAAAGTGGTAGAACACTATCCTTGAGCAAAAGAACTCCGGGACCCACAAACAACCAAAAAAAAAAGAAAAAAAGAATGAGTTTTTTGGGGCATAGGGAACACACACCTGTTATCCTAGCTACTCCGGAGGATGAGATCTGAGGATCAAATTTCAAAGCCAGATGGGCAGACAAATCCACGAGATTTTTTTTTTTCCTTTTTTTTTTTTGTCTGTCATGGGGCTTGAACTCTGGGCCTGAACACTGTCCTTCAGCTCTTCAGCGAAAGGCTAGTGCTCTCCCACTTGAGCCACAGTGCCACTTCCTCCATAAGATTTTTATTTCCAGTTCACCAACAAAAAGAAGATGGCTGGAGAGAGATTAAGGGTGAAAAGTCCCAAGCAAGATCAAAAAGCTCTGATTTCAAGCCTAGGTAACAGCACAAAAACAAAAATCTACCAGGTAGTCATTGGGGTTATTTCCTATTATACAGCATACGAATAATCTTAACACTGTGTCTTCTTGGTCATTTCTTCTTAGCTTTATGCTGGGTTTTGTTTCAAGAAGCTATTTTGTTATACTTCTCTTGTATTCACAAGAATCATTAAATAGAAACTGTAGTTATTTCTGTAATTTCTTTTTAGCCAAGGAAATGGAGGTATCAAGCTCATGTACACGACAAACTGATTTAAATATTCAAGCAGGCTGGCTCCAGGTAGCTCTATGAACACTAATACTCCTAACTGGAAAACAACACAGTGCTATGGGGATTTACACTAATCAGTGTAAGGGAGTAGCTGTTCATATTACGCCTTTAAATTTAATTATGGTCTTTAATCATTTTAGGATATAAAATCTATTCCTGAGATTGCTGCACTTGAGACAATGCTTACTCAGTGCCATGAGAAGCTTCAAAAGTTGCCGTGTATAGAACAAAGGTTGGACATGTTGGAAAGAGCAATTAAAGGAAAAGTGATGGTAGATGAGAAGACTTGGACTAATCTTCTTAGTCGAGTTACTCTTCTGGAAACAGAAATACTCTTGTCTAAGAAGGTATATTCTTTCTCTAATGAGTTCATTGCTGTAATTTTCACAATAGCCAAGTTACAGAAGCAGCTCAGATGCCCTACAGTGGATGAGTGCATCAAAAAAATGTGGTACCTATACACAATGGAATTTTATTTATCCATTAGAAAGAACAATATTAGGTCATTCGCAGGGACAATGGATGGACCTAGAACAAATCATGTTTTAGTGAGGTCAACCAAGCTCAGAGGGACACCCAGCCACATAGCACATGTTTCCTGTCCTCTGTGAAAGCTCCCATCTAAAATACAACTGGACATGATAACTTATACAGGACTCCAGGCATTCATATACACACAGACTAAAGGAGAATACTCCCTTGGGCTGGGAAGGTGGCTCAGTGGTAGAGCGCTTGCCTTGCATGCCTGAGGCCCTGGGTTCAATTCCTCAGCACCACATACGCAAAAAGAAAAAAGCCGGAAATGGCGCTGTGGCTCAAGTGGTAGAGCTCTAGCCTTGAGCTGAAGAGCTGAGGGACAGCGCCCAGGCCCAGAGTTCAGGCCCCACGACCGGACCCAAAAAAAAGGAGAATACTCTCAGGGGAGGAACCCAAAGGCATAACTTCTCTCATCATTTTAAATACTGTTTATCAAAACAAGTTCCAAGAGATGGAAACGTGGGGTTTTGTGGTGGTGTGGTTTTTGCTTTTTTTTTTTTAGGGGGAGAGAAAGGGACACAGAATGGAGGGAGGAAGGCTGAACAAATGCAGTCATGGTATTCAGTATACACTATGTGGAAAGTAAACTATGCAACTTGTGGGCAGGGATGGGAGGGGGAAAGTGAATGATAAGGTAACATTATCCACAAAGAAATGTACATGGGCTGGGAATGTGACTTAGTGGTAGAGTACTTGCCTATCATGCATGAAGCCCTAGGTTTGATTCCTTAGTACCAAATAAAAAGGCTGGAAGTGGTGCTATGTGATAGAGTGCTAGCCTTGAGCACAGAGACGCTCAGGGACAGTGCCCAGGCCCTGAGTTCAAGTCCCAGGACTGGCAAAAAATAAATAAAAACAAAAAGAAATGTATTCATTACCTGACTTATGAAATAGTAACCCCTCTGTACAATACCTTAAGAATAGCAATGAAAGTATATTTTTAAAAATTTAAAGCAGATTTGTGAAAAGCACGTATTAATATGTTATATATTATGTAAGAGGATATATGTAACATCAATATATAATATTTAGATAGTATGTATAGTAATTTATATGAATGAACTCTAACAGTACATTATATTGTATATATTTTATTGTTATTATTAAGGTCTTGTACAAAGGATTACTATTTCATAAAGTGGGTAATAAGTTTAACTCTTTTTGGACAGTGTCATTCCTTCTTTCCCTTTCCACCAGTTTCCCCCTCCCATCCCTGTCCACAAGTTTAATAAATACTTTCCTAATAGGTATTTCTTTTCTTCACATGTATTTCAGCTATAATCTTTTTAAGTTAGCATATATTAGTTGTACAAGAGAGAGTTCAGTGTAACATTTACACATAAGTAAACTATGTATCTCAATCAGCCTCATCTCTCTTCCTCTCCCTATCTCATTCCCTGCTTTTAAAACAATTCCAATAGCTACAGCTCAAAGTGGTAGAGCACTAGCCTTGAGCAAAAAAGCTCAGGGACAATGTTCAGGCCCTGAGTTCAAGCCCCAGGACTGACTTATCACATAAAATAATATTAAAAATCTATAAATTGAGCTGGGCGTTGATGGCTCATGCGTGTAATCCTATCTACCCCGGAGGCTGAGATCTGAGGATCACAGTTCAAAGCCAGCCCAGGCATGAAAGTCTGAGACTCTTGTCTCAAATAAACCAATAGAAAACTGGAAGTGGCACTGTGGCTCAAGCAGTAGAGAGCTCATCTTGAGCTGAAGAGCTCAGGGACAGCGCCAAGCCCAGAGTTCAACCTCTATAACCAACCAAAAAAAAAAATTTGTAAATTGAGTTAATATTACTATGTTGTTTACGAAAACCTCTATCTTTTAATAGTAAAAATGGCCTCTTCGGTTTGTGGAAAAGTTGTAAAAGAGGAATTTTTTGTTGTTGGTGTTGGTGGGACTTGAACTCTGGGCCTGGGCACTGTCCCTGAGCTCTTCAGCTCAAGGTGAGCACTCTACTACTTGAGCCACAGTGCTACTTCTGGTTTTCTGGTGGTTATTTGGAGATAAGAGTCTCACAGACTCTTTGAAATGTGATCCTTAGATCTCTGCCTCCTGAGTAGCTAGGATTACAGGCGTGAGTTACTGGCTCCTGGCTAAAAGAGGAACTTAGTTTTTTGCAGCAGTAAAGTTTGAACTCAGAGCCTCATGTTTGTTGGGCAAGGCTTAACAACTTTAACCACACTCCTCACCATTTTTGGGTTTCCTGTTTTCCTAGATGGACTCACTCTTTTACCATGATCCTCTTACCTCCACCTCATTTTTTTTTTTTTTAAGTCGTGGGGCCTGAACTCTGGGCCTGGGCG